TGGCCATGAGGGTCCCTGCCCACACTGAATGTGGGGTCCCAGCTGCCCCTGCTGGCCATGAGGGTCCCCTGCCCACACTGGCTGTGGGGTCCCAGCTGCACCATGTGTTGCCCATCCTGCTCGAGGGGATGGTGAGGAGCCGACTCCTGCTTTGCCTGCACCTCTCCAGCCACTGGAATCTTTCCAACTGGCCAAGGACTTCTCACTGGGCCAAGCCAGGACGGTAAGGTTTGATATGCAAGTAATGGTAGGAACAAGTTTTTTATCTTTTACAAAATGTGCTGCCTGCCTTCCCTTGCAGAAGCAGAGAAAGTGGAGATTTCCTGCAGATCTGAGTAAATCAGCCAAGGCACATGCAGACGTTTTCAGACCAGAAGGCTCGTCTGATCCTATTCCTGCCAAACCCGAGCCAGGAGCCTCGGGCAGCCGCTTCCGAGCTGATTCAATAATTTGCAAATTGCAGAGAACAGCTCCCAGAAACCTGCATCCCTGAGCACCGTGGGACTGGTGCCAAAGGGCAAGGGGAGACTGTGAATGGAGGGGTGCCCCATGCCCAGGCACCCACCCACCACGGACAGCCACCACTGCATCACCTCACCTGCACACAGGACATTCAGGAAAATTCGTTTAGATATAAATACAGTCCAAATTCCAGATTTCCAGAGCAGAACAGGAGCCAGGAGGAGCCCAGAGCAGCAGCCACCCCCCAGGGCTCCCTGCTGCTCCCCTCCCCTCGGCAGGGGAGGCAGAGGTGGCAGATTGCGGGTGAAGGGGCAGGTGAGCATCACCCAGCTCTGGGAGGGGAGCCTGGCCAAGGTGCTGTGCTGAGCTGCACTTTGCTGGGTGGTTGCTAACAAGAAAGGGACATGGGCCACCAGAGACTCTGCAGCTGCCACTGATCCTGCCAGGCTTGCATATGGCTCATGGAAAGCAAAATTCAATTGCAAATGCAGAACAAAGACCAAATGTAGGAGGAAAAAAAAGCAAATAGGAGCAGGTGGAGGAACTGAGTCCCTTTTGACGATGCCGCTAGCAGTCCTTTCCTTTTCCTGCAGATTATGTCACTTTGATGGCCCTGGCAGCTTGCATAAGATGGAGCAACCACCGTAAAGCACTGCTTGAATTCTTGCAATCACTCCCATGGAGGTTCCTCAGTCCATAGCAGACAGGAAAAAACCTCCTCGGGGCCTTGTTCTCCCCTTGAGATGTCTGTGTGATTCTTGCTGTACTCAGTAAACCCCGCAGCAAGAACTGCACTGAGACAGTTTGTGCACGACATGATGCTGGGGAAAAAAATAAAAATAAAAACCAGACTTGCACATCATGGGGCAGATTCCTGTGCAAGTTCAGAGCGAGGTTTTTTCTCAGCCCTCCAGTGTCACGCTGAGCTCATTCATAGAAACCTGGTACCTGGAGGAAAGACAACTCTGGGAAAGTCTTTCGTGATGTGACTGGTAAAGCAGTCACTGGCCTCAAGGCAAACGCAGGATGGCCAACAGGTTTCAGTGGGGACAACATCCAGAGGAGCATTTGGACCCTTCTGGCAGCACACACCTCCCTGGTACTCTGGCAATCCAAACACACAGCACATGAAAGTGGGAGAAGAGTCTGCAGGCTGGCCCCACAACCAGCCAGCCCCTCCAAAACTTGCTGGTCCACACCCAGAGCCCACAGTCCATAGCCAGAGCCCATGGTCCACGAACAGAACTATGGCAGGGGTGGGGCTGGG